GCGCTGATGGCGATGGCCGGGGCGCCGCTGGATCCCAGCCTGCGCCTGTCGCTGATGCAGGGCGAGGGGTCGCTGGGCGGCGATCGCGGCGGGCCCGCCTCGGCGCCCCTGTCGCGCACCACCTCGGCGGGTGGGGCGGAGGCGGTGAGCGAGGCCAGCGTGCTCAGCATGCACAGCAGCCTGTCGGAGTACCTGGGCGCCGGCCAGCTGGCCGACATCGCGGAGGAGGACCCCGAGGCGCCGGGCGGCGAGGCCTCGGCGGGGGGCGCGCTCCGCGGGGCGGCCACGCCGCCGCACGCGCGCTCGCGCCAGGCCTCGCGCCTGCCCAGCCCCGCGCCCTCCCGCGGCGGCGGCGTTTTCAGCCCGGGCCTGGCCAGCCCGCGCCCGCTGTCCTCGGCCAACAGCGCGGCCGGCAGCGACGACGGGCGCGGCGGCGGGAACGGGCGCGCCGCGGCGGAGCGCTCGCCGAGCCCGCCCTCGCCGGCCGCGCAGGCCGGCCGCGAGCCTCCACGCGGCCGCTCCGAGGGGACGGAGCGCGGGGTCGCCACCGGGGATCGGACGGTCGCGCGGCACCGCTCGGCGGAGGAGGCGGGGGGGGGGGAAGGCCCCCGACGACGACGTCACCGACCCCAATCCGATTGCGCGCCCCGCCCGCGCGCCTCGCAGTCGCGCACCTTCAGCACGATGCTGGCGCCAGACGACGGCAGCGCGGAGGCCGCGGCGCTGCAGCACCCGGACGCCGGCGGCGCGCTGCGCCGCTTCGCGGTGGTGGGCAACTTCCGCGCCGAGCGCGACGAGTTCGGCCTGCGCCTGCGCATCGCGGAGCCCGGCGGCGGCGCGCGCACCGTGGAGTTTGCGTTCGACCTGTCGCGGGACACCGCGGCCTCCGTGGCCAGCGAGATGGTGGACGACCTGGCGCTGTCGCCCGCCGACGCGGCCGACATCGCGGCCGCCATCCGCGACGAGATCGCCGCGCTGTCCTCCGACCTGGAGGCGGCGGTGAGCATGAACCTGGAGGCCGCGGGCGAGGCGCTGCAGGCAGGCATCCTGCACTCCGCCGCCTCGGCCGCCGGGAACGAGGCCTTTGGCGTGGGCGACGACCATGGGGAGGGGGCAGGGGGTGGGGACGCGAGCGCCGGGGACGGGGACGCGAGCGCCGGGGGTGGCGGCCAGGCGCCCGACGCGGCGCCGGGTGGGCCCGCCGCCCCGCCGACGGCCGCCCTGACGACGACCCCGCTCGCCGCAGCCCCTCCAGCAGCCGCTGGGCCCCTGCTCACGCTGCAGACGAGGCCGGGGGGGGCCATGGAGGCCAGGAGCCCGCGCTCGCGCGAGGTCGCGCCCGCCCCGCCGCAGCGGAGCGCGCCGCCGCAGAGGACCGAGGGCAGGGACCCCGCCCCCGGCGGGATCCTGCGCGCCTCGCCCAGCCTGGCGCGCGCCTCGCCGCCGCCACTGGTGGTCAGGCGCTCCACCTCCTACGACGTCGGCGCGGGGCTGGCCGCCGCGCAGTCCGACGGCAGCGAGTCCGGCGCCAGCACGCCACACCTCGGCGCGCCCGCCCCGGGGCCGGCCTCCCGGGCCAGGTCCGAGCTGGCCGCCGCGGCACGCGCCGCCGTGCTGTCCTCCTCCGCCTCGGCAGAGGGTGCGTATTTTGAGGAGGGTGGGGCGTCAGGGAGGGGCAGAGACGTGGGAGACTTTGCCGGGCTACAGGGATCGTGCTAGGAGGAGTGGGGTGGAAGAGGGGAAGTGTGCATCATGGCATGGCGGTTGCATGCATTGCCAGCGTCAGAGCAGGACAGGCGATGGGGTCGTGACACCGACCGCATCCCCAACGTCCTACCTCTACCGCCTCAACAGCCCACCCTCTTCCCCCCAACAACCCCCTCCCATTCACCAGGCCTGGCCCTGAACGCCGCCGGCGTGGCGCCGGAGAGCAGCCTGAGCCCCCGGCGCTCGGCGCCCTCCCTGGGCTTCCCCCCGCGCCCGCCGCCCCTGCACGCCCTCTTTGAGGCGCTCAGGGAGGGCGGCGTGGAGCTGGGGCCCGGGAGCAGCAGCCAGGAGCACAGCCTGGGCTCCAGCGTGACCAGCCCACCGGCTTTTCCTGCGGGCGACGCCGTCGCCGCCGCGCCCCTGGCCAGCGTCGTGCTGGGTTCGCCACCGGCCACCGCGCGCCTGCCGCCCTCCCCGCACCAGGGTGGAGCACCGCAGGCGGGTGCCTCCATCTCGCCGAGCGCGGGCGAGGTGGCGCAGAAGCCCTCGCCGCGGCCCGCCGCCTCGCGCGGCGCGGCGGCGCCGGCGCCGGGCGAGACCGAGGTGTGGCGGGTGTCCACCGACCTCGCGCGGCGCTGGGGCAACCCGCGCCGCGCCAGCGAGACCGACCTCGGGGCCATGTTCTCCGATCCCACGGCCTTTGGCAGCGTGCAGTCTGGCGACGGCGGCGCAGGCGCCGGCGTCCGGCAGCGTCGCAAGGCGGCGCCAGCCCCCCTCGGCCGACGCGGCGCGCGCGGCCGCGGCGCTGGACCTGGCCGCCCCTGCGCGGCCCGTGCCCGACCCGGCCTCCTCGGCCTTCAGCGCCGAGGCCTTTGGCGTGGCGGCGTGCTGGGGCGGCAGTGGCAACGGGGTCGGCGCCGCTGCGCGCCCGGCCCCCGCCGTGGGCGTGGACGAGGCGGGCCTGGGCGCGCCGCTGGTGGCCTCCGCGCTGGTGACGGCCTCTGCGCCCGTCAGCGGCGTGGTCAGCCGCGAGGCCTCGCCGCAGCGCGCCGACGCGTCTGCGTCGCCCACCAAGTCCGTCGCCGGCTGCCTGCTGGAGGGCACGCGCAAGCTGTCCAGCCTTGTGCCGCGGGGTGAGTCGATGGGAAGGGGGACCCTTGGAAGGGTTGGAGCTAGTTGAGCATGTGTTTGGGGGGAGTGGGGTGTGTGTGTGTGTAGGAGGAGGCATGAATGCTGGCCGGCGTGGGGTTTTGCAGGAGGCCGGGCGCGTGTGGCTGCGCCGGCTCTGACACAGGGTGGGAAATGGTTGCTGGGCCCCGGCCCGCGCTCCTGGCACCAGCCGCAGTGATCGGCGTTCGGAGCACCAACCCACCGCCCCCGACACCCATCCACAGACAAGGAGACGCTGCGCCGCGCGGCCGCCGACGCCATGAAGGCCGTGGAGTTGCGCTCGCTCAACCTGCTGGAGGGCGGCGTGCTGGGCGGCGGCGCGCGCCTGGTCCGCGGCACGCCCATGGCCGCCTGCCGGCCCGTCCCTGCCGGCGCGGGCGGCGCCATGAACCTGGTGGCCGCCGCGAGCAGGCCGGGGTCGGCGCCGGGGTCAGAGGTCCTGGGCCGCGACCTCTGACGCGTGGCTGCTGGAGAGCGGGTGGACCCGAGGCGAGGCACTGGGGCGCGCCGCGTCACCACCTCCCCTCCCTCCCCCGGCCGCCCCCGTTCATTCTGCTGATGGGGCGTGGAGAAGCCCCCACCCCTTCTCCTGATGGGGCGTGGAGAAGCGCCAGGGGCCCCTTCACAGGGATCTGGCGTGCTCAGGGCCCCAGCCCCAAAGTTTTGTCAGGCCACCCCCTCGAATGCTGCCGGGGACGGTGGCCCCGCATGGGAGCGGGCAGAGGCAAGTCCGCCTCACAGTGTCGCCCATCCCTTTTCATCTGCCGCTTGGGGCGGGTGCCAGACGTGCAGGGAGCCGGCCTGCACAGTCCCTGCATGCCGCCCCCCCGGGCGTGGCCCCCTGGAGTGCGCCGGCGCGTCGCTCCCGCTCGACCCCCCCTCACCCCCCTTGCACCTTGCATACAAGCTTGAACCCCTCCTTCATCGCTGCCCCCTGGCTCAAATGCACGCTGGTGTCCTTCATGCTCGCTGGTCCCGCTTTTGTGAGATGGAGGGAGGCACCCCAATGGTCTGGAATCCAGGGCTGCCCTCGGCCGCAGTGCCCGTCCGGAGCCCCCTTCTTTTTGCCACCGGGCCCCCCTCCCCACCCTTCCGTTTACCCTGCCCCTCACCTCCGCCACCTGCACCACCCCATGGTCTACACCCTCACGGCTGCCAAGGATTTAATGTATCCTCAGCTGGGTATCCCCTTTCCCCCTCGAGGCAGCTGGTTGCATAGCCCCCTGAACCCCCTGCGCTTGCTGAGAATATTGCAGTGCCCCCATTACCCTATGTATACCGAGCACAGGGCCAGTGGGTGTGGAGTTGAGCATCAGATCTGAGGTGGGTACACATCCAACCGTAGCGCGCCCGCGCCCTGGACTGCAATCCCGACGAGCATCATGCCGGGCCTCATACCAGCTGTGCAGCGGATGTTGGCCGAAGGCATTGATTTAAATGATATTTTTATGAGGACCAGTCAGCGATTGGATTGGTGTGGTGCCACTGCTGAACGCACGGGCAGTCGGCCCAGGTCCAGGACCGTCCCTTCACAAGTTTTGAGGCTGATGCCCCCAGCTCAACCATGCATGAGGTCCCGGAGACAGGAGGAGTCATGAAACCCTGATGTTGCTTTCCTGTCGTGCGAGGGGCTCCCTTTTAAGGGCCCTCACGCGCCAAGTTCGAGTCCCTCGGCCACTGGGTGTGTTGGGCGGCCTCCACCGACCCCGAACCATGGCTTCTGCCGAGCAGCCCAGGAGCGACGAAGCCCACAAAGTGAGACATGCAAACTGCTGGGCCTTGCCCTGGTGGCTAGTGCACAATTGGGTCGTGGCACCAAGTTTGGCCAGCTGCAAGCCGGTGCAAGATGCCCCCGCATGCAGTGCGCTCATGAGAGCACTCCATGTCCTGCTGCAGGTGGTCGTCAAGTCCGTTCCTGGGGAACCAAACATGACAATCAGTCTGACTGTGGGGGGCGTTCAACGCCACTTGCAGCGGCCCAAGGAGGAGCTCCTCGAGAAACCCCTGGCCAGACTCCTCGCAAACCTCTCCGCCCCAGGGAAAGGTAGAGTCTGGCGCCAGGAGGGCTTCAGCCCCAACCTCTCTGATATCCCTAGAAGATTTGTGCACACATGCAGTCTGTGCCGCTGCCATGACTGATGCGTCTCCTCAACACCCATGTGGCCCACCTCCCAGGCAAGAAACATAAGGGCCGGAGCCAGCAGGCCACAGACCTCTCCTCGGCCCAGCCAGCCTCTGCCTCGGTGGCGGTCCTGGCAGGGCTGACGCAGCCGAGCCTGGATGCATCCTCTGTCACCAACGAGGCGGCCTGGGTGACGGGGCACGTTCTGCAGCTCGGGGAGGCGAGGCTGCCCATCCTGCGGAACCCGCCCCTCATTGCCAAGCTGGACGTGTATGGGGACGCCTTTGTAGGTATCCCGCTCGTCCCCGTGCCCCAGGTGGGGATGGAGGCTGTGCTGTGGGCACCGTGAGGGAGGGAAGGTATACGACTGGGAGGCATGTGGGTCGCCGGCATCGCAGATAAACCTTCTGGAATGGCCAGCATGGGACTTTGACCTGCCCAGACAAGTGTCCCTAGGCAGGAGTGATGTCCACGCTGAGCACCAACATCCCCCTCCTCCCACACATACACCCAACTGACCCACAGCTGCTGTTTGCGGACGAGGACGCCTGCTCCTGGGAGTGGGAGGTGCAGCGTCCGCCTGCCTCCGTCTGGACCAGGGTGGGCGGCGACCCGGCTTGCTCTGCCGGGCGCGGAGTGCAGCGGACCTACATCCCCACCCCAGAGGATGTGGGCGCCCTGGTCAGGGTGCGGTGCACCCCCGGACGGCGTGGAAAAGGTGGCGCGGCGCCGACGTGGGGCGAGGCGGCTCTTGCCGTCGCCGGCGGCAGGGTGCAGCCCCACCCTGCAACTCAGCCTGGCCCCGCCAAGGTCTGCATCCCCCCCGCCAGGCTGGAGGCGACGGTGCCCCCACGGCTGAGGGTTGTGTCCTACAACATCCTGGCCGACCAGTATGCGGCCACCGAGCGAGCCAAGTCGGTGCTCTTCGGCCACTGCCCAGAAAAGTAGGCAGAGTGTTTTGTGGGGGCCCAGGCTCCTGTTGCTCTCTGACCCCGGAGCCGCATCCTGGCCATTTCTGCACTGTCCATGGTCTTCTTTCCCCGTTCCGTGACCAGCTCCCTCACCTGCGCTGCGCCACCTCCCGCCCCCCATCTCCAGGTACCTGAGGCCAACGCACCGCCGGCCCCTCATCCTGGGCCAGCTCCTGGAGTTCCAGGCCGATATCCTGTGCCTCCAGGAGGTGGATGAGTCGGCCTTCCGCGGCCTGCTGGAGCCTGGCCTGCGGGATGCGGGGTACAACGGCGTCTACACCAACAAGCTGGGCAAGGTGGCGGAGGGGGAGGCCGCTTTCTTTCGCTCCGACCGCTACGAGCTGGCCGCGCGCCGCGACGTGGACTTTCGGGCGGCCTTTCTTGCCAGGCGTGAGGCAGACGGGCCCGAAGACGCTGCGGGGTCCATGGCCGCACGATCCCCTCTCTCCGAGCGATACGGCCCCGCCCTGGCGGCCTTCCTAGAGGCGCACCCCTCGCTGAGGGAGGCGCTGCAGCGCGTGGGGACGGTGGCCCAGCTGCTGCTGCTGCGCCCGCGGGATCCCCGCCACGCGCCGCTGTGCCTCGTCAACACACACCTCTTCTTCCACAACGATGCGCCTCACATTCGAACCCTGCACACCTGGGCCGCCGTCAAGGTGGGAAGAAGAAGGGATGGGAAGGGGCGTGAGGAAGGCGGGAACGAGGGGCGACCCACTGGATTTTGGACGCTGCAATCCTCATGCAGAAAGGCTGGTCGGGGCCCGCACGGAAGGATGAGGTTTTCTGTGCTGCAAGTCCGCGCACGCCTCTCAGACTACAGAGCACCTGGCTCACGTGCGTCCCCTCCCCATGTTCCCTGCTTGCAGGAGGCGTGTGCCTTCCTGCAAGAATCAGCCAACCTGGTGAAGGACTGCGAGCTGGAGCCCACCCTGCTCTTCTGCGGCGACATGAACAGCGACCTGAACGACGGCATCCCAGGTGGGCGGCAGAGAGGTGGTGGTAGCTGTTCCACACACTCTGACCTGGGTGCTATTGCTGTTTTGGACGCTCGACAGGGCATGCAACGCCTCAGAGCAAGCCCGGCGGGCACTACGGGGTGCAGCCATACAACTCAATCGTTGGCCCCGCTCAAGTTACTCGCTACCCTTTGCCATTGCAATCGCGCAGGTGCCCTGCAGCTGCTGGAGACTGGGCAGCTGGGCGCAGACTACTGGGACTGGGAGGCGGGGGTGGACTTTGACTGGCATCGGACGGGGAAGAACAAGGGGAATTCCGGCGACGAGATCGGCGAGGAGGACGAAGGCGAGCCGAAGGGGGGTCCTGCTCCCTTACCAGAGGCAGCCGTGGTCCGGCCTGACCCTGCCGCTTGTGGCCTGGACTTGAGCCTCGCCTGGCCAAGGCCGTTGAGGCCAGCGGGCGACCTGCAGGCGCCCTTCAGCAACTACGTCTCCGGCTACCAGGGCCTCTTGGACTATGTGTGGTGCGTGTGATGCATTGTGAGAGGGAGGGGGGGGGGGGGGGGGAGGGGGGACGGGCGGGGGGGGGGGGGGGGGGGGGGGGGGGAAGGCGGGTGCGGAGCTGGTTTGGTCATCTGATGGGGGTAGAGGCGGCTGCACAGCAGCTTCTTAGCTACCGCGGAGGGCCACCTCCAGCCCCGGACCCAGCCCCGCTGCCCTGGGCACAGAGTCTTCCAGCCGCCACGGCTGCGCAATCTCATCTCTCTCCCCCCTGCTCACCATCCCTCCCTCCCGCCTGGCTTGATACCCGAAGGTGTTCTTCTCGGGCGAGGCGACCAACCGCAAGTACCCCGCCACGATGCACGGCGCCCTCATCTCCGGCTTCGCCTGCGCCGCCAACGTCCACGCCTGCGCTCAGCGCCTAGCCCTGGGCCTAGCCACCTGCTCGCCGCCTCTGAAGGAGGAGGAGGCCGTCGGGAAGCCCGCCCCGCCTCACTCGGTGCCCGTGCCGTCGCATCGATTTGCGCGTGCGCGAGCAGAGGACTCAGCGGCAGCGGACGCGTGGGCAGAGGACGCGGGCGCGGCAGCCGCATGGGTCCATCACGCAGGTGCGCCCCCCGTCGGAGCCGGCGGCGCACGGGCGCCCTCCGCCCAATCAGACGGCGCACGCGCGCCCCCCGGTCAGCCCTGCCCCGCCCCGGCGACCCTCGTTCAGGCCATCCTGGAGCGCACACGTCACGGCGAGGCCCCGCCCGCCGAGGCCCCGCCCGTCGAGGCGCGCCCCGCCAAGGCGCCGCCCAACCCTGCGTCCCTCGTATAACTTCGT